TGTGTGTGTGTGTGTGTGTGTGTGTGTGTGTGTGTGTACATGTCGGCTCTCCTGTCTGCATGCCTGTTGGTCTGCCGGTCTGTCCGAGAGCCTGGCAATGGGCTTGGCAGTGGTACTTTTTGCAGGAGGTGGAGGTACAAAGACAGACAGTCAATGTCTGCCGGCTTGGGTACGCGGCTTGTCTGTCCAGATTCGAACGCAGCTCCGGCCAAATCCGGTCAGGGCAAAGTCTGGACTAAGCAATTGTCGCTATCCCATCCAGGCAATTACCTAATGGCCGCCAGACAGTCAATGTCCGGATTCTTTCTCTCGCCAGCCCTCAACATCACACTTACAACATTATCGCCTTCAAGCCCAAAACTATGCATTCGTGAGATAAGCCAACTCTGACTAGGCCACAATGAAAGTGACAGCCGCAAACATGCATGCACACATACACAGGCATTTGATCAAAGTCGGCATTTAAATTTCTGGCACAGGAACACATTCCACACACACACACACACATACATACATACGCACAAGACACACATGTGTCCTATTATATGAATATTCAATCACACACACACACACATGCAAGACAGGGCGAGGCCAGTACCATTCGCACATATTTGCATGCGCACACACGCACATGAGCGTATATCCATTCGGTCGCAGTAACACATACAGGCAGTGAGTCGCACATGAACACATCGGCATAGTGACATACTGCGCGGAAAAAGGTGAGATGCACGTCTGGGCGCTGGGAAGAACAAAGAAGTCAGTAAGACCTTCCACCAGAGTTGAATAAGCCGGCCCACACAAATTTATGACTTCTACGCGTGTAGCCATGTCCACATTCGAGTCTCGATTGATAGGGCGCTGAGCAACAGATGGAGTTGCTCAGCCTGGATCGGCAGATGCGCGATGACTTTGACATTCACAGGGGGGGGCATGTCAGTTTGTGCTTAAGAATGCCACGTCATTTGGGTGCATTTATACACCCGGACATCGGAAGATGATTTCGGCTGGCAACTCCATCGGGGTAGGAAGAGGCGTTTGGGTTGACAGGAAAGTAGTTCGCATTTCTAAGGCAAGCGCCGGAAAAAAACTCGCCCATCACACACGCATTCTCTGAGTTCCTGCCTCGGCCAGACTCAAACATGCCGTTTCTTCACTGCCACTTTGCCCATCTGACTAGCATCATCCACAACTCGTCTGTTGGGCCCTTGCTTCGGCGTGTGTGAATTATTATGGCTCTCGGTTCTCGGAGGCTGCACACGCCTCACTCTCTTCAAGGCACCGTAGCGTCATGGCATCTCCAGGACACCACGTTGTATAGCATCATAAAATATTTTAGTTCTATATACGTATAGGATCAGGTATATATATCTTCAGTAATTCGTATTGATAAAAGTGATAATTATTTATGTATGAACCCACTAATCTATTCGCTACAATTTATTTATAACAGCCTGGAATGCATTTTTTTCATTCCTCTCAACGCCTGCAGAGTGAATCTTCAGTCAAAACTGACACGAGCGTATTCTCATTCCGACTGGCACACAGCCTCGACCCGGCCCAAGCACCGACGGGATTCTAACTCAGAGACTGAAATGTTATCATAAACCTAGAATGGAAAATGGTAGTCTTTCTTCACCAAATGAAGCACAGTGAATAGTGCGAATGACTCCTAAATCTTGTTGGTTTCGCACTACTTTCTAGTCTATACAAGTACT